TAGCTTTTATAGTTTCTGAGATCCTCGCGTTCATCCAGACGGACGGACGGACAGACGGACGGACATGTCTAGATAGATTTCTCTCGTCATGCTGATCAAGAATATATATACTTTATGGGGTCGGAGATGCTTCCTTCTGTATGTTACATACTTTGCACAAACCTAATATACCCTTTTTACCCTACGGGTACAGGGTATAACAAGATAGAACGCTACAGTCGAGCAAGCCCGACAGTAAAATAGCCTGTACTCTCCACAAAAAATTTAAAAGAAATTAAATTATTAAAAAAAATGAATGAATTAATTAATTAAAATAATTAATTTAATTAAATTAGAATACATGTTTATGTTCAGTTCTAACAGCATACATTTACATCACGTACCTATGCGTGTTTCTATGCGTGTATGTATGCAGCACAAAGTTGAACAAAAGCAGCAACAACAACAACAGCTGCGGGCAGCGCTGCCGACAGAGCTGCAGGCAGCGCATGAGCAGCGATTTTACTTATGGCTATAACTTCAGAATTGACCTATCATGATGAAATTTGGCACACGGACACATTAGTACTAACTGGATGTACCTACCAAAATTGATTTTAAAATTCCGAGAATTACGGAAGTTATAAGAAAAAATACGAATTGCGGGGGAGTGGGGGGGTGTATCAGAAAAAATAAACAAACTCGTTCTGCCTAGGGCTTATAGGAACCTTGATACCAATTTTGGTTATCCTAGCTCTTGTACTTACTGAGATCCTTGCGCTCATACAGACAGACGGATAGACGGACATGGCTATATCGACTCGTCTTCTCATCCTGATCAAGAATATATATACTTTGTGGGGTCTGCCCCGCCTCCTTCTGTGTGTTACATACATGCGCACAAAACTAGTATAGCCTTTCACCCTTTGGGAACAGGCTATAAAAAAAAAAAAAAAAAAGATACAGACGAATTGACAACCTCCTCTTTTTTGAAATCGGTTAAAAACAGTTTGTCCTGACTGACTGACTGACTGACTGATTGGTGATCAACGGACAGCCCAAAACGGTAAAGGCTAGGAAGCTGAAATTTGGACTCAAGTATCCTTTCATAGTCTAGGTGCCCAATAAGAAGGGATTTTGGAAAATTCGAGCTCCAAAGGGGGGAAATGAGCTCCAAAGTTTGTAAGAAAAATCCGCATTTTTTAGCCGATCGACATAAAATTTTGTTTCTAAAATCTATAAAAGAATACAAAGAAAACTGCATACCGCGTCAACAGCCCACAGCCCACACGGTAAAAGCTAGGATGCTGAAATTTGGGCTCAAGTATCCTATCATGGTGTAGATGCGCACTAAGAAGGGATTTTGGAAAATTCGAGCTCCAAAGGGGGGAAACGAGCTCCAAAGTTTGTTTGAAAAATCCGCATTTTTCAACCGATCGACTTAAAACTTAGTTTCCAAAATTAATTAAAGAATACAAGCAAAACTGCATACTTAGATATTCGAAATTTGTGTTGGAGCTTGAATTATTGGGGTTTTAATATTTATTCACTACTTCAAATGAAAAGTTTGTGTTATAAATTTAGTCCGATCGATTTAAAATTTGGGTAATGTAATCTACGTAACTAAATCTACAACTTTGCATTCAAGGATTTTCAAAATATGCATTTTACAAAAGCAGGCAGAACAAACAATACAAAATATCAAACAGTTGGGGACACCTAAGTATACACCCACGCACACACACACATGCAAGCAGCTGTTCGTGTAGTTGCGTGCAAACGATTGAAATAGCCAAAGCAAAATGTGAGACACTAATGTGTGAATATGTATGTATGTATGTACATTCGTCTTGCACTGACAGAGCAAGAAATGTTAATTAATTGAAAATTATATAACATTTTTATACCCTGTACCCGTAGGGTAAAAAGGGTATATTAGGTTTGTGCAAAGTATGTAACATACAGAAGGAAGCATCTCCGACCCCATAAAGTATATATATTCTTGATCAGCTTGACGAGAGAAATCGATCTAGACATGTCCGTCCGTCTGTCCGTCTGTCCGTCCGTCTGGATGAACGCAAGGATCTCGGAAACTATAAAAGCTAGAATAACCAAAGTTGGCATCCAGATTCTCCTAGGTCCGAGTAAGGACGAGTTTATTTTATTTTTTTTAATTTTCCCCCCCTTCCCCCGCTACAGAATTTCGTCAATAGTGTCCACATTTCAAAAGCTACCTAAACCAAACTTTGCACACATAATTTCTATACAATTATCTACTGTTGTTTATTAGCAAAACAAATTCTCACCAGTACAACCCCCCCAAACTGCAGCAACAAGTTCGCTCTTCTTCTTCCTCTTTTTGCTGCTGCTATGGGCGCATATAACTCAGTGACGGAAGTTTACCTGGGTACAGGGTATTACACTGTCGGGCTTGCTCGACTGTAGCGTTCTCTCTTGTTTAAAGTAATTTTTTCTTTGTTTAGTGCATTTGGCATTAGGGTTTTCATTAATAACTTTATGCAGCAACAACAAATATCAAATAGTTGGGGACATCACATACACACACTCACACACACAACAAGAAACAGTTCGCGTCTATGTGTGCGGTTCTCTACGTACGGTTGAAAAAGTAAAGAGAAACATATGTACATACATATGTATGTATGCCTGTGTATGAATATAGCATGTATGTACATTCGTATTAATGTATACATTGGGCAATCGAACACAGTTGTTTGATTGTAAAAAAAATAATGCTCTAAAAACAACCACAACTGCAAGTCATTGGCTCTTCTTCTTCTTTCGTTGTGACCATTTAATGTTAATTGCAAAAGCAACACGCCAAAAGTTTACAGTTACCGTCGCTAGGCAACGACTGCGTAAGCGATAGTAAAGCAGAAACCGAATAACGGAGCTACGCATATTCTGCTTCGCATTGCGGGCAGATGTATGTATGTATATGATTTGTTCTTATTGATCTCAATAAATAATTAGATTTTATTATTTAAATATTCTGCTTATTGCATTCAAACTTCGATATTTTGATGGTATCGGTGGCTTCAACTATCGAAAGTTTTACTCTAGCAAATTGAGATAAGAATTGTCAGTGCTTTTTGATCGTGGCTCATCGCTGCACGGCATTGACACGAGTGCCGTGTTTCATATTCCGAGTTTGTGCGTGACCGTATTGACTCAATATGGCACGAAAAGACTCAAATGTGAATTTAAAATTAGGATATACCCTTATAATTATTCCCCTTTTTTGCACATAGTCTATCTTAAAACGTTGCGCTATCTCTATATATAAAACAGTTTGTCCTGACTAATTGGTGATCAACGCACAGCCCAAACGGTAAAAGATGAAATTTGGACTCAAGTATCCTTTCATAGTATCCATAATAGCGTAGGAGCACACTAAGAAAGGCTTTTGGAAAATTCTAGCTCCAAAGGGGGGAAAACGAGCTTTAAAAAATATTAGTTATGTTCGTTTAACGAAATAGTTTGGCAAGAACAAAAATGTAACGGACTACTGAAAAATTTTTTGTCAAGAACAGAAAATGTTCATTTAGATACCTTAAATGCCTTCCTACTGGTAACTTATAAGGTGAAAACATATGGGTAGATTATGCAACCACAAAATAAATACAATTGGAAACATATTGAGCCGGGTTAAGACGGGCAATACCTGCTAGTTAGTAATATGTTTATACTAGCAGGTATGGCCCGTCTTAACCTGGCTCAATTTAGTGTTTCCAATTATTTTGTGTGTGCATAACCTACCCATATGTTTTCACCTTATAAGTTACCAGTAGGAAGGCATTTAAGGTATCTAAATGAACATTTTCTGTTCTTGACAAACTATTTCGTTAAACGAACATGACCACTATAACTAATATTTTTTAAAGCTCGTTTTCCCCCCGTTGGAGCTAGAATTTTCCAAAAGCCTTTCTTAGTGTGCTCCTACACTATGATGGATACTATGAAAGTATACTTGAGTCCAAATTTAAATTCACATGTGAGTCTTTTCGTGCCATATTGAGTCAATACGGCCACGCACAAACTCGGAAGTAGGCAACATTTTTGGTCAGATTATAAAATAATAATAATATTAATAATAAGAACCAAATACACTTTAAATTTATGTATAATTAAAATGTATCTAATATAAATAGGTTAAGTACTTGAATTTTAATAATATCTAAGGAAATTTAATTAATGTGACTAGTGCATTAATTTATAAGAATCATTCTTGTAGCACTAGGAATAAATAAATAAATAAATAATCAAATACATACAGGAATATGAAACACGGCACTCGTGTCAATGCCGTGCAGCGATGAGCCACGATCAAAAAGCACTGGCACCGATACCATCAAAATAAAATCGAATTATTTATTGAGATCAATAAGAACAAATCATATACATACAGCAAACATACATCTGCCCGCAACGCGAAGCAGAATATGCGTAGCTCCGTTATTCGGTTTCTGCTTTACTATCGCTTACGCAGTCGTTGCCTAGCGACGGTAACTGTAACATTTTGGCGTTTTCCCTTTGCAATTAACATTAAATGGTAAAAACGAAAGAAGAAGAGCGAGCTAATGACTTGCAGTTGTTGTTGTTTTTAGAGCATTATTTTTTTTTTACAATCAAGCAACTGTGTTCGATTGCCCAATGTATAAATTAATACGAATGTACATACATGCTATATTCATACACAGGCATACATACATATGTATGTACATATGTTTCTTTTTACTTTTTCAGCCGCACGTAGAGAACCGCACACATAGACACGAACTGTTGCTTGTTGTGTGTGTGAGTGTGTGTATGTGATGTCCCCAACTATTTGATATTTGTTGTTGCTGCATAAAGCTATTAATGAAAACCCTAATGCCAAATGCACTAAACAAAGAAAAAATTACTTTAAAAAATGTTATATAATTTTCAATTAATTAACATTTCTTGCTCTGTCAGTGCAAGACGAATGTACATACATACATACATATTCACAGGAGAGAGGTTGGGCGGTCGAGCGAGGACGCAAATTTTTTCTAGCTCCTCAAAATGTTATTTTTTACCACGGAAAAAGGCGCGGAAAAGCCTTAATACGAGTATATAGCGGTCTGCATAGTGCGTGTACATACGTGTGGTGCGATTGTGGTGACTGGACCAGTGGGCAATATGTGATTTAGAAGCCGTGGGCGCTTGTTTTTCTGCCTGTTCCGCGACGCTGGTGGTTTTGCCAACGCCGGCAGCGGAAAAGTGGACCGAACGCGATATGCTGCGTAAGTGCGACTTGGCAGATGGATGGCTGAAAGTGTGGATCGGCTGAACACCTGGTTGGCCGGTTCTGGTGAGGCAAAGTCCAAGCTCCGGTGAGTTCCTTGCATTGTTCGAATCTGTGAGGGTGCCTGGCCCACGCAGGCCAACGTGCGGACTGGTGCTCCTATAAAGTGAAAGGCAAGGGTTGATATTTTCACCTAACAGCGGTGAACAACTTACGTTGGCGTTTGGAAAGACGCTCTACAAGAAGGGACTGTTGGCGCTCAATATGGAGTGAGTGCTTTGTTGTTGGTTTCCAGCCGGACAAAACACTCGTATGGCTGCCATATTGCTCTGGTCCTCTCACGGTGGCTGGCGCTGCCGCTCCTAACATTGAGGCTAATAGGCAACCCTTTTTGGCCCATTGTGTCCTGCAGTAGCTCCAATTTTCTTTTTAACTTATTCTGCACGGTGTCCGAATGATTTTGTAACAGAATGAACACGCGGGCCCCAAACATATGGGAACCGACTCATTTCGGAGTGGAGCCAGTCAACAGGTGGTTCCAACCAAACACTAACGGAGCTGGTTCACGACAGAACTCGCGACGAGGCGTCCGCGGAACTCAGGAGCCGGTTCTAGTTCCGCAAATAGTGGTTCACGTAAATAGGGTGACCAGCTATCGTAATTTTAAATTTTGTATTGGCGTGCCGTAACAGAAATAAATCTGTTAGCTGCAATAATTTTAACAACAACCAATAGGACCAAATCTACAAGTACGCTATGCCCTAGCTTTGCCTGCTACAACGTTTTTCCACGCCGTTTGGACGCATTCAAAGTAAGCCGCATACAAAGCGTTAGGTTTCAGATGGGCCGCATCGGAGTCACTACGGGCACTCAGGCCACGGAACTGGCTGAGCCAACCCCTGCCGCGCAGGCGGTGTGCCCAATTAATAAACAAGTTAATTGAAATGGGGCTCTGGCGGCCGAGTAGGGGCGGCATATCCCCCATCCCGCCGAGAGAAATCTTATGGCCAACGTGGGACTGAACTCCCCAAGCGGCATGTAATTTCTCCGTGTCCAAAACGGAATTATCCCCCTCTCTCCGTAGCACCGAGCCCAGTAAAGTGCTACGTATGGTATACTGGAAGCCCCTTATGTTATTTTGACGTTTCGAGCTGACGATGTTGGTATTCTGCGACCTGAGTACGTAGATTGACACCCTACCGAAATGGCTCGCAGGCCAATGCCACCATTGCCCCCGTCCCACTAAAACCATGGCAGGCCTTGAGTAACGCTTGCTGTTCGTCGCCATTAACTTGGCCGTGTAGGCTCAGATGCACATTCCTGAATAGCACCGATCTGGCTCTGAACTTTGTTGCCCATAAGGAGCAAAGTCAACCCTCGCGTGGACCTCACTCATGGAAAGGCACCCACGGGATCACTAAGGTAACTACACGCACGAACAGCAATAACGGACTCAAGTTGGGACCCAACTACAATGACATCAACAAAAAAACCAACCCCAGTAGCAGAAATGGATGAGGAGAAGCAAGCCTTCTCGCGCAGCACGGTGCTGAGGCGATCTCCACCAAAAGCGGTGGCAGTGCCAACGGCGGAGATGCTCAAATCACCCGAGAGCCCACGGGCAAAGCAGCCACAAAGGATCGAAGAAGCCCTACAGGGTATCGGTACAACGGTGGAAGGCCTGATGGCCCTTATAAATGGAGGCCAGAGGCACATCAACCAGCTGGTTAAAGACGAGCTGGCTAAACTATTGTCTCTGCAAAGGGCGGCGCTAATATTGTGTGCAGGAAAGGAGAGGGTAAACCAGTGCACCCAAACGTCACCACCGATGAAGCAGCGCCCCCAACTTAGTACCCCTAAAAGGCCCAGAGACCCAAAAGGTAACCAGCGCACTACCCCACCGAAAAAGCTGAGAACGCGTGACCAGGAGCGCGCCACGGCACCGACGTCACTAGTCCAGAGCAAAGAGAACCAGTCCATTATGGAGCCAGTAACCGCCAAGAAGAGCGCCTGGACCAAGGTGAAAGGTCGTGGGCAAAAGAGGCGCAGTAAACCAGACGCCATTATTGCCAAGAGCGTAGGTGAATGTCAATTTTCTGACCTGCTGAAGGCGGTAAAATCGGACCCAACCCTTCAAAGCATGCGCGATGATGTCCAAGGCATCCGCAAAACGGCGAATGGCAGCCTTCTTCTGCAGCTAAGCAGAGCCCCAGCTCATAGCGAGAGTTCGTTGCATGCTGCAGTGGAGAAAGCACTACACGGGATAGCAGAAGTCAGAGCCCTGACAGAACAAGCTAGAGTAGAACTCCGCGACCTAGATGAACTCACTACCAAGGAGGAGATATGTGCAGCGATCGTGGCGAATGTGGAGAACATCAGCCTGGACTGCTTGTCAGTAAAGTCGATTCGCAAGGCACGTGGTGGGCAGCAAACTGCAGTGCTATCACTGCCAGCCGACAAAGCCACGTCACTTTTGGAACTTGGCAAGATCCGGATTGGATGGGTCATATGCCGCGTGCGAACCTTAGTTGACCCAATGCGGTGCTACAAATGCCTAGATTATGGGCATATCGCAGGAAGATGCACGAGCAGCGAGGACCTAAAAGGGAACTGCTTTAAATGCGGCGAGAAGGGCCATATTGCTAAGACCTGTAGCAAGGATCCTAAATGTATGCTATGCTTTAGGAAAGGAACTCCAAACTATGCCCACGCCACCGGCAGCTTCAAATGCCCAGCGTTTAAAGAAGCAGTGCGCCAGGCGAAGCACTGAAGTTCATCCAGCTTAATCTGAACCACTGTAGTGCGGCACAAGATCTGCTGCTCAAAACAACACAGGAGCTCTCTGTCGACTTGGCTATCCTAAGCGAGCCCTACAGACCAATGGAAGGCTCCAGATGGGCTATCGACCAATCGGGTAAGGCGGCGCTATGGGTCTGCGGACCCAGCGGGATTCATCTGGATGATGTACGGGCATGCAGAACGTTTGTGCGCGCAAGAGTCAGCGGCCTGTGGATCTACAGCTGCTACCTGGCACCTAGCTTGACAATCAACGAATTTGCAACAGCTTTGGACGAGCTGGTGACCGACGCAGCGAATCGCCGTAGGGTTATCTTGGCCGGCGATTTTAACGCATGGGCAGTGGACTGGGGCAGTATTTGTACGAACACTCGTGGCCGTATACTGCTTGAAACCTTCGCCAACATGGATATTTCCCTGCTAAACACAGGCACCCAACCCACATTTAGTAGAGCCGGCGCAAGCTCTATTATCGATCTCACGTTCGCAAGCAGCTCTCTGTTCAATTCTGCGTCGTGGTCTGTGAGTGACGTCTATACGGCTAGTGATCACTATGCAATCATCTACACAGTCGGGGAAAGGACGAGTAGCCAGCGGCATGGGCCGCGCACGTATCACACATATCGTATTAACACTTTTAACCCTGCTGCCTTCTCGGAAGCTCTGCCTGCATTGATCCTGGCCGGGAACCCCCACAGTATGGCGCAGGTTGCTGTAGCACATCTACAGGCTGCATGCGATAGGAGCATGCTTAAGAGGAGGACAAGTTCGCGTCATCATGATCCCGTTGTTTGGTGGAACGATGAAATTTCACAGCTGCGAGTGGCATGTAACCGCGCCAGACGACTCACCCAAAGACTGCGAGGCACACAGGCATTTCCTTCCCAACTAGCAGATTTTAGGAATTGCAGAAGATCCCTGAAACGAGCCATTCGCAGTAGTAAAAGGAACTGCTTTCTGGAGCTATGCGATTCGGCAGACCACGATCCATGGGGAAAGGCGTACAAATCAGTAGTGAAAAAAATCAACGCAGGTCGATACGATGTGCCTTCAACTCCAGACGCACTAGCAAAAATAGTCGGTGTACTATTCCCCCCTGGGCCGGTGACCGGAGAAGAGGAGGACAGCGTTCCACGCCCATTCCAGGAGACTACTGTGGTACCAGAATCAGAAGTACTTGCAGTAGCAAGCTCTCTAAAGGACAAGGCACCAGGCCCCGACGCAATCCCAAACCGGGCACTTAAGCTGGCACTTGCGTTGCATCCCAGCTCGTTCGCAGCACTTTTCGAAAATTGCTTGAATTCAGGTGTTTTTCCGGACTGCTGGAAAGTCCAAAAGCTGCTATTGCTCCCGAAACCAGGTAAACCACCTGGAGAAGCATCATCCTATAGACCGATCTGCCTGCTGAACACGGCGGGGAAAGTGCTAGAGAAGCTTCTCTGCACGAGACTGGAGGCAGCCCTAAGCACTGCTGGCGGACTATCCCCAAACCAATATGGATTCCGCAAGGCGCGTTCAACGATTGATGCCATCGGAAAAGTGGTCGAGATAGCCGCTAACGCTATTTCAGGGACGCGCTGGAAGGGTGGCACTAAGAAGTATTGCCTGGTGGTTACGCTGGACGTAAAAAATGCTTTTAACTCGGCCAACTGGATATCCATACTTAACGCACTTGGAGAACGAGGTATCCCCGCGTACCTCTACCAATGTATTCGCAGCTATTTTAGAAATAGGGTGCTAATGTATGAAACGTCGACTGGCACTAAGACGTATAAGGTCTCTGCAGGAGTGCCCCAAGGCTCTGTACTGGGGCCACTCCTGTGGAATACAATGTATGACGGCGTCCTGCGGCTAGAGCTACCAGCAGGTACAGAAGCGGTCGGATTTGCAGACGACGTCGCGATAGTAGCGGTTGCAAAGGATCTGGCAGCCGTCGAGGACAAATGCAACGTAGCCATCAGAAGAATTATAGCCTGGATGAGCACAGTGGGCCTAGAACTGGCACCACATAAATCGGAGGCCGTTTTAATAAGCAGCCGCAAAGTGGTGGAGGTAGCGCACGTCACCATCGGCAACCTGGTGTTGGCGTCCAAGCGTGCAATTATGTACTTGGGCGTCATGCTAGATACTAGGTTATCCTTCCGAGAGCACCTCGCCCATGCTGGGAAGAAAGCGTCCACGATGGCGCGATCTCTGGCGCGCATAATGCTAAACACTCGCGGTCTCAGGCAAGGAAGCAGACTTCTCCTAATGGGAGTCACACGGGCAATGATGCTATACGGAGCTCCCGTCTGGGTTGAGGCCACAAAAACAAAGAGTTACATAAAGCCACTGGAAGTAACATATCGCCTTGGCGCTTTGCGCGTATGCAGCGCGTTCAGGACCGTGTCGGACGACGCAGCCCTGGTCATCGCGGGTATGGTGCCTATAGACCTGTTGGCAAACGAGGCCGCCACTCTTCATCGGAGCACGAGAGCAGATGGCACGAGCGCGACGGTGATGCCCTCACTGCGTAGGGCTTTACGCTCTAACGCGAGGCAGGAAAGTCTACGGGCATGGCAAGAGCGATGGAATGTCTCCTCCAAGGGCCGCTGGACGCACCATCTGATTCCAGATATTCAGGCTTGGGTCGGGCGGAAGCACGGTTTCGTCACTTTCCACCTCACGCAGAT